TTGTCCAGCAATGCTACACCCCCCCAAGGGGATGAACTACCCTTCAGGCGACATTTTTTTGTAATATCTAATAAACAAGCACTCCTACTTAAGTTCCACTTACGCGATGTGATTGCTCACAAAAAATGAAGAATCCGTGTTTTTTTATTTTTACCAATAAACATTTACACATCGGTTGTAAAGAATAAATGTAGGTGGTATACGGGTATATTCCGAGTAGCTTTATTGGGTTATATCGTGACCAATTTTACCTTTTCACCAAGGAGATTGTATGACTAGTTGGAAACGGGTGATGACTGCGTTATCGGATCTGTTACGAAACTATTTTAGTCTCTTAAACTTTTTTTTAAATGTATTTATAAATAATTGCATGCTATGAAAACCAAGGACATTTTGAGGAATAAGCACGTTCACAAGATTTATGTACAATGAATTGGTCACGATATAANGGGGGGGGGTGTAGCATTGCTGGACTATTGTCCGATATTGTGTTTTCACCGTCCTTATACGGAATACGTTTATACCAAGTTTCGTCGAAATCCCTCCACTGTTTTTACGAAAATTATGATAAAAATCGATTTTCCGCCAAAATTTGGGTGGTTGTTTCACCCCTTAAATGTGGACCATTGCAGATATAAAAAAACACGTGTCTTTTAGATTTTTGTGTTCTTCAACATATATGAAAATCAATAAGATCGGGGGCGGACACTTGGGAATGTTTCCTTGTAAGTTCCGAGTCAATTGCAGATGTAACATTTGTAACTTTGCTCGCGTAACTATCCCTCCTTGGCCGGTCTCGCCTTATCGCGCACTCAGGCCGTCACGAGGAAGTGTCTAATCCTTTGCCTTTCTGGCCTATCCTGGATTTCCTTTCGGCAACCTCATATCCGCTTAGGCTTTCAACGGCGTAAAGCCTCAGTGAGTAAGCAATTTTCATCAGTGATAGCCGTACAAAAAGGAATACAGGATGTAGTTTCTGTCTCGGCTGAGGACGGTTTTGTAGTGGATTCGAAAATATTAAGGTTGTCGTATGTCTTTCCTCGTCATGTCACGTAATAATTTTAGTGCGAGAGTTGTCTCGTGTTTTGGGCTATTCGAGATCTGTGTAGGTGGGCTCCATGGTTGCACTTAATGCAATGTGTTTCAGCGACCCTTAACTGGGGGGGGGGGGGGGCATGCCGTTACGCCCTCAGGTGTGTAGGTGTGTGTGAACTCTGCAAAAAAAAAATTCGTCCGCCTTCGGACTCCTTTATTGTCCGTACACTCATGCTTCGCTTAACTTAAGGGAGCCGTGTCACAATTGTATACGGAGACCCGGGAGGAGGGCCGCCGCTTTGTACCTAGAGGGTAGGTAGCACCCTGAGGGAGGGAGTCGAATCCCCCCTCCTGCCTAACCGATCTCCGCTCTTTCTGGTGCGAGGGGTCTTGCGACGGTTGTTGTCCTGGTGAAGGTCCTGAAGACGGCGTACGTCCCCATGAGGACCCAGGTGGGGATGACAGCCAGGTCCCTGACACCGATGCTTGCTCGTCTGCGCAGGTCCTCGGCTGACTTCCTACTCCAGACTCCCCTCCAGCTCAGTGTGGCCGGGAGGTGGTCCACCGTCTCGGCTCCGGTGAGACGTTGGGTTTCGTCATCAAGCCCAGGGGTGTCAGCGTAGTACCGCCCCTTAATCCTGTTGGCAGTGTCAAGGGGGGCCTGTTCGCTGACCACCTGGGCGTCGATGACCACCGCTTGTCTCCCCAGGGCCGCGACGAGGTCCGGCTTCCTGAGTCCAGAGGGGGTCCGGAGGTGGGGCTCCTTATGGACCGTGTATCCCTGATCTCGGAGGTTTCTTGCGATGTACTTGGCGGCGGCGTTGTGCCTGGCTATTGTGGCTTCGTGCGTCCTGTGACAATGTTGGACCACATGGTTGATCGTCTCCGGATGGAGACATCCCCCATGGCACAGTCGCTCCCGCCACCGTCCACGGGTGATGCGTACCAGGATGGGGAGGGTACCTATCCGTGTCTTCACTGCGTGGATGTAATCCCGCCCGTGGAGGAGGCGTATTCCGTCGACGATCCATCTATGTTGTTGCGGGATGTATGCTGACTCTTTGAGGGCCGCTCCGTCGACCGATGAATGTAGCCGTTCCGCCCACATAGTGTTGAAGTTGTTGGAGGTGGTCCGGATCTGCCCATTGTCCGTCAGTCTTCTCGTACATCGCAAGGCCTCCGCCGTCAGGCAGTTGTCCGGAGCAACGCCTGACATTCGCTGTGGTAGGTATTCTTGGAGTCTAGCCAACCTAATGGCCGGGGCAACCCATCAGAGGGCGCGGATGCCCAGGCCGCCGTCCTTCTCCGCCGCGTGGTAGTACCCCACCGGGGTGTCGTTGGGGAGGGCCAACTACTTCCTGATGGTGGCGCGGACGATTCGGTTGGCCCCTATGGTGGCTCCCCCCAGGGCGAGATGGTAGTACGTCCTGGGGAGGATAGCCACCCTAAGCCCGTATATCCTCTGTTGGGGCTTGAGAGGAGCCTTCGTCAGTCGAGCCAGGAGTGGCCCCAGTGTTTCCACTGGTCTTCTCCCCCTGGCTCCTTCCGATGTGAAGTTTACTGCAAGGTACCTCCACTCCTCTGTCCTCTTTAGTGGGTGGATTGCAGCACCATCAATGCTGAATGTAGCTGCCGCATCGACTACCGTCTTCTTGCGGTGTCTGTCTCCGTGCAGGCTTACTGTCCAGGACTTAGCTGGATTGGTCCGGAGACCACACTTTGTCAGGTGTTCGTGGGTGCTATCCAGTAAGTGTTGAAGGCTTGCACGGGTGTTTGCCATTAGAGCCAGGTCATTGGCAAAGGCGGCTGCATTGGTGGTGTGTGTTCCGATGGTAGCCCCCACCTCCTCCGGCAGTGAGCAGAGGAGACTATCCATCGCCAGGTTGAAGAGGAGTGGTGATAGGGGATCTCCCTGTTTAACTCCTCTGGTCGGGTGGAGAGGTGTTGATTCCCACCCCTCCCCGCAGATGGTCGTCTGCCCTTCGTGGTAGGACCTGGTGATGTAGTCTCGTATGGGGGCAGGAACTCCTGCTTGCCCCATAACCTCCCGGAGGGTGTCATGAGAGACAGAGTCGAATGCCTTGGCGACATCCAGACATGCCAGATGTAGAGATCTGTGGAACTTGTAACGGTCCCGCAGTAGCGTGTTCAGGAGGAGGACGTTGTCCCTGCAGCCATCCACGTGTTGCCGGAAGCCCCTCTGTCGTGTGCCAAGCTCCAGACCTCCAGCCATCCGCGTCGCCAGGATTTTGTGAAGGACCCTGGCGAGTATGGATGGGATGGAGATCGGGCGGAAGTCCCCCGGCAGAGCGGCTCCCTCCTTCTTCGGTATGAAGATCGTTCTGGAGATGGCCAGGTGGTGGGGCAGCCTCCCCCAGGTTGAGAATCCTTACAATGATCTCTCCCGGCACAGCCCTGTACATCCGTGACGTCATCCCATCAAGGCCTGAAGCCACGGACACACAGGGCTGGGCCGCCTTGATCTCGGCGAGGGTAACTGGCCCCCAGAGTCCCGGGCGTGGTTCCCCTTGAGGAAGATTCAGGAGGACCCCGCCGCGGGCCCTGTGAAGACCTCTTTCCAGAACGGCTCCATGACCTCTCGTGGTGGCTGCCGGAACTCCGTCACTCCTTCGAAGATTGCCGCTAGGCATCTGGACCTGTTCTTTATCCACGCTTTCTGCGTGGTGACGTACTCAGCTCGCCGCTTTTCGCGGCGAGTTGGCTCAGGTCACGGTGGCCGCTGACGTCTCTAGCTTTTCTGCTATGGTGGTGGAAATACCTCTAAGAGGTAAGACGTCAGCCTCGCCCTTGTTACAACAAGATCCAGAATGCCCACGGCGTCCACGATTTCCTGCAGCCTGCGAGCCTGAAACCCTTCCGTTTCCGTAGGAGCGAGAGAGCAGGGCCGCCACGATCGATAGGTGATCTCCCTCGGGGGCCTGCTCCTCTTCCTCCACGGGGTCCGGGGGTGGTACGGCTCGGACTGCTCGGAGTTCATGGACTCTCCTCTGGACCGCCTCCCTATACTCCGGACGCTGCCGCTGCTTCTTGATGGCCTCCACCGTCCGACCAGGGAAGCGTTGGTGGAGCTGCTGGTTCAAGTTGGGGACTGGATCGTCTCGCACCGCTGGTCACCCGGGGAACGTCGCAATAACATCACACCGGGCGGGCAAACGAAGAATACGAGACCGTCTCCAGTATACGCGGTTCCTGTCTTCCCTCATCAGGTACAGTATCACCCCGCGCAGCTGAACACCCGGGGAACGTCGCCTTGCCGTCAGGCCGGGAAACAGGTGCACGAGTGCGAGACCGTCTCTGAATCTGAGCGGCCGGACACCCAGAAAACGTCGCGATAACGTCACGCCGAATGGCAGGCGTAGGGGTCCGGTTGGTCCGGTCGCAAAGTCTGGGGCTCACAGGGAACGTCAACCCAGCTTGCATGCAGTTCACCCGCTATAATCTCAGGGTCAAATATGCCGAGGGTTGTTCCAACTGCATCGAGGCCTAAGTTGATGCCCATCCACAGGATCTGGAGGACGGCGCAAAGATCTGCTATCACATAAGCCTGCATTAACATTTACATAAACATTATACCACACATTTATATTCAAATTAACAATTTATTAATAAATATTTTGACAGATTTATAATAATTTAATAGATACATAATAAATTAATAAATATACAGTCACAACCGATGGAATTACCATTAATCTCTAACGCTTTCTCTTCGCATTCCTCCAATCCCAATTTTCAGGAGGACCTTCCTCGAGCCATATTTCCTCATTTCAGATATACTAGGGTGACTTAACAATGTTTTTCTATAAATTATGAAAAATTGAACAAAGTCTAGGGAAATACTTCGTAAACGTTCCTTGTAAGCATGTTTTAAAAATTTGTTCATGTTGGTTAATTGAGTCAAAATTTGTCATATGGATTATTGACTACTTTTAATGATTTTGCAGTTTCCTCAAGACATAGATCCTTGTGATCCGATTTCTCAAATGAAATTCATAACACAAATTAAGGCGAGCTTGCATCGAACTTCGGGGACTTCAGGAGTTGAAAGCGTAGAAAACAAGTCACAAGGAAAAGGTAGGCTTAGCAAAGGAAAAGGAAAGGGGAAAAAGTCACAGGAGGAAAATCGGCCTAATAAAGTGGGTGTTCAAAAATTATGGTACGAGGCTCTCAGTTCTGAAGGATTTACATATTATTGGCACATAGAAACCAATGGTAAGAATTGTTTTTTTAATTCCTCTTCGCAGATTCCATTATTTAATGACATTAATATCCATTAAAATATGTTCTAACAGAGTCTATTTGGAATCCGCCAGAAGAAGGTTACATGACAATTGCAGAGCAAGAAAAAGAAGTGAAAGAACATGCTATTCAAACCGAGTTTTTGAAACAAATAGAAGAAGAAGAAGCAATTAAAAAAGCTGAACATTTTGAAGAGGAAAGGGCAAATGCTGAGCGTGAGAAATTGAAGGAACTAAGAAAACGGGAAAATGATCAATCTCAAGATCACCAGGTTGAAAGCATTACTGCAGAAGGCATCAAAGAATCGGAACTTCCATCGTATAAAAAGGAGTGTACTATTTCGAGGAAACCACAACCTTACGGCTCTTGGCAAACTGTTCAATTTGTGTAAGTATTAAGATATACGAACTGTGCTAGGACTCGTGGTAATTCCTGAAATTCGTGTATGTTGTATGAAGAATGAATGACGATTTGAATAAAAGGGGGACGGTTCCGGGTTTTCAGCGCCCGGACTATCGCTCGTCAACTTCGCCCAATCGTCTAAGCGGAGCCGTTCGAGCCACTCTGGAAAATTTACACCAGGAACTAGACCAAAAGTTGGGATCCAGGCCTCCCTGGAGACTAAAACATAATACGCAAAACTCAACAATCTCAAAATTTCAAACGACTACAAACAGTACTCGAAATATTTAGCTCGAACGGTTTCTCCGTCTCGGCAATTGTCTCCACGCGACCAGCTAACTCAGAGCGCACGCGCCAAGGTTCGAAGAAGGCCGGGTAAGACCAAACGGAGGGGAAAGGAAACTTTAAATAAAAATTGGGGAAAGCAAATCGGAAAATCGGGGGATTCAGCCACTGATAACACGCCAGCCAATTGGGAAAAGAAAAGTTACCAGTTTATTCTAAGAAAAACAGAAATAAAGAAAAATAATAACTTGACAAATTTTTATTAAGGACCATAGAAAATGACAGTGGGAACGGGATTCGACGGAAGCCGCCCTAAAACAAATAGGTTCGCGCTCGGAGGCTTCTCTAGAAAAGCGCTCTAAATATAATTACCGAAATCCCATCGGCTCGTACAAACGTTGTTAGGTTACAAAAGGGGTCACAAGGAAAAATAGGGCGCGCTCACTCTCATAGACAACTATTCTTAACAATCCCGAACTCAAAGATATGCTCCTGGGTGATCTAACTCAAATTCTACCTAAGATAATCGAGTGTTAACGCAAAATTACGGTACATAAAATACTCGGAGAGACAATACATTTCGACATTGAATATCGCAAAACCACACGAATTCTAAATTTTGATACAAGATTACTCCAGAAAATTCGACTCGAAATTGATTTCTCAGAACAACTTCTACACGATTCGAAGGATAAATTAACGCAAAATTCTCGCCAAAGGGAAGATAATAGAGTCCGCCCGAAGAGAAAAATATGGTCGCGGACGCGGGCGACCGCGTGGTCGCCGCACGGCTTCTTTGTCTTCGATCCCAAGGGAAAGACAATCAGACAATCCTATTTAAAAACTGACCGGGAAGAAAAGATTAAATTAACGCATTAACAAAACTATCCCGTCGAAAACCAAAATCGTTCACAGATGTTCGCACGAGAAAGAAACTAAATTTCCGCGGCCAAACAATGTACTACTCGAAATACTACGCGCTTTTACCCAAAACCGCACAACAGAAAATTCCGGGACACGACGCAAAAGAGAAAAGTTCGCGTTCGTTTCCGTTCAAGGAGCCCTACGACCTCTCGTGAGGCTAAACCAAAATCCATAGTAAACAAAAACCTTTCCGTAATCCCTCACCAGAGAAAGCCCATCAGGGAAAATCAAAAGATTGGCCGTGTGAAAAAAGTGGAGGATCGCCTCCGCGACGCACTCCCGATTATCGATGCGACACTGTGTAGACAAACCAAACTCGGAAAAGGACTCGGAACTCGAAACAATGTACCAATAGATGGGGTCCTCGAAACGGGCGCAGGGCACTTAAGTTAAGGGGATGTGAAAGGCGTCTCTGAGGGGTCAAATCGTTTATAAAAGTTTTCTCCGAACTGGGTGAACCGAATCGTTTCCAATTTTAGTACATGAATACGGAGACCCTAATGATGGTCCTGAAACTCGCGAAATTTCATTTTTCATAAAAAAATTTAT